GCAGAGCGGCTTTGAGGGAGTTCGGCATGCAGCTTTGTTCTCTCACAATCTGTTATTTGCTCTTTCAAGCTAAACATGTGGGCCGGCAGTGCTATGAACAGGCAACCGCACCCTTCTTACATCCCCCCCCCCCCCCGTTCAATAGCAAAAGCTCCTCCATCTGTACATGCATTCTTCGGACCCAGGTGGCGCTGTGATCTAAACCACTGAGCCTCTTGGGCTTGCTGATCAGAGGGTTGGCAGTTCAAATCCCTGCAGTAGGTTGAGCTCTTGTTGCCCTGCCCAGCTCCTGCCAACCTAGAAGTTCAAAAGCATGCCAGTGCATGTAGATAAATAGGTACCGCTGCGGCGGGAAAGTAAACGGCGTTTCCGTGCACTCTGGTTTCCATCACGGTGTTCTGTAGTGCCAGAAGCGGTTTAGTCTTGCTGGTCACATGACCTGGAAAGCTGTCTGTGGACAAACGCCGGCTCCCTCGGCCTGAAAGCGAGATGAGCGCTGCAACCCCATAGTTGCCTTTGACTGGACTTAACCATCCAGGGGTCTTTTACATTCTTAAAACTGAGTTCATCAGTCATGTTTCCAGTGCACTGTAACAAAAGCTATGACGTTGCAGAACAATGTTTATGGTGGTGTCAGGATCAGTGCAAGAGTCTGGGTGCCACAGTTGAAGCTTTCAGCTGCCATCCTGGACTGGAGAGCTTTCCCTGCTCTTTGGCATTTAATTTTTTTTGGAAGTCTCTAGGAAAAGCAGCTTTTTACCTATTCAAGGATGCAATCACTTGACATGCTTTTGGAGTGGTATTCTTACATGGAGCACTTGAAACAGCATACAAGCATCCATAGAATTTTTTCTTTCTCTCTGGAGTTGGATCTAGAGCTTGAAACCGATACTGGGAGAAATAAAGAAATATGCCTTAACAGTGACAGAAAAATAAATAAATGCTGCAGCCATAGGACCATTGATAAAAGGCCCCATCTGCACTATGCATTTAAAGCAGCATCATTGCACTCTGAACAGCCACGGCTTCCTGCAAAGAATCCTGGGAACTGTGGCTTGTTAAGTGTGCTGGGAGTTGTTAGGAGATCCTCTATTCCCCTCACAGAGCTACAATTTTAACTGAGAGTTGCAAAGAAAATCATTTTTGGAAGGTGCCAGTCTGGAAGTGATAAAGAAAGGATGTGAATATTCCAAGGGTTGCTCGTATAAGTGATGCATCTTAGCAAAAAGCTATGATCACTGCCAACCCAGAAGCTTAGAAACTGAGGCTTAGTTGCATTTGTTTTAAACGTTGTATTGATTTTTACCTTTATTTCTAGTGATGGCTTAATGTATAGTTGTTTATAATGGTCAGTGTATTTAAAGTCATGTTTTATATATAGTTGAATCAGTGTATCACTCGGGAGAATTTGTTTTTAAATATTCTTAAATAAATAAAATAAGCTTAAACGTAATTAAACTGAATGTATTTCCTCTAGGGCAGATGTGGGGAACCCATGGTCCCCTATTTTTATTGTACTTTGTTTATTTATTCACTAAATTTGTATACCGTCCTTCACCCAAAGATCACAGGGCAGTTCACAGCATAAAAATACAAAATGAGAACTGAGAACACAAAAGACATGATTAAAAACAAGAACAAAAGGAAATAAATAAGCTTCCTCCCCAAGGTCTCTTTCTTTCTTTCTTTCTTTCTTTCTTTCTTTCTTTCTTTCTTTCTTGTTGCTGAAATACAACTCCAGCCATCCCAGGCCGTTGGCCATGCTTGCTGGGGGTGGTGATGGGAAACATAGTACAGCAACACCCAGAGAGCCAAAGATTCTCCATGTTTGCTCCAGATCTGTCAGACAAAGCTCTGGAATGAATCAGTTCTGTCATGTGAGGGGGAAGGGATCAGCTCAACCTGGGTTCAAATAAGCAGAAGTGGGTGAGGTATGAAATGAGATGAGATGGAGGGAAAGATGGCAGGTCTGCGATGTAAGAGCAGTGACAGCAGTTTAGCACAGTGGCTGCTCATTCCAGAGAACCAGTTTATACCCCGTGCTTTAGATACTGGGAAGAACGGGGGGGGGGGGGAGCACTTCCCAGACAGCTTATAGTATGAGTTCAACCAGGAATGAGTAAAACAATAAAACAATATGCGACGCAACAAAAGAAAGCAACACAAATTCTATGAAATGCAATAAATGAACAATGGGAAAGCAACATCTTAGTAAAAACAAGAGTTCAGCAAAAGCATTCAGGGCATCATGAAATGGAGATGTGTGCAGGACCTGGAAGCAGATGATGACAAGCCAAACACACTCTATGTGTTGTGATTGTGGCTTAACCATGTGACCTGCCCCAGTTTGTTCCAGTATCACCCAGGACCTTTTGCTTTTAAGGCAGACACTTTACCACTGACCTATGGTCCTTTTTTTCAGTCTCATGCTCCAGGTGGCCATGAAGGTCCACCGTAAACTCAAGTTGTTGCACCCAAGCAGATGTTAGGCTCTCCTCCTCTGCCAGCAACCTGGCCTGCTCCATCTTGGCCAACGTCTCCTGCTCAGGCTGTTCTTTGGACTCCTGTTTCTGGGCAAGCATATCCCTTGTGCCCTGTAGCCATGTCATTTCTGAAATCGAGAGTTTCAAAAGCTGCTTGAGATGTGGCAAGTGGACCTGGTGTCGAAAGGCTGCAAGAACTCAAAGATTGCACTGGGCATGTCTGAGCCCTGAGGTGTTCCGTAAAGTAGTTCTTTGGATCCAGGCCATCTCACTGTTGCGGAAGGTTACTGAGCCTGCCAATCACCAGTAATGCTAAAGTCTCTATTTACAATGGTTTAATTAAGCTGCACTGCCTTAATTGGATTGCAGCTGTCACCACCAGTTAACACCATAGCATTCATTTCTGAATCCATAACTTAGATCGACAGCTACCAGCTCATTTCTCCCTGCAGCACCCAAGACTTCTTCATGGGGTCTGAGGGGGTGATGTTCTCAGGTGCTAGATTGTTTTAATGCACAGGACCCTAAGCAACTAGATTTGTTAGAAATTATAAAAAAACGTGGCCCACATTCACGCATGCAGATTTTTTAAAACAACAACAACAACAAGATGCAGCCCTGCTTTTAGCTTGTTTCATTTAAAAATGTGTTTCTGCAGCCTTAGAGGAAGTAATAAATGTACTGATGTGACCATCTTGCTTCCTGATAACTAATAGGAGCATTGCCACCTTGAATTAAAGAAAGGGGGAAGGAGGCTATTGTACGTGGCTCATCCAAGTGGCTGTAATGGAAAAGATCACTTTGCCTGGAGAAGTACTGGGCCCAAGTTCTGTAACAATCAGTAGATGCTTTCTGAATCACAGAGGGTATCTATTATAAATATAATCTGAACAGATGGTGCTCTTCAAGCTGAAGAACATTGCAGTGCGTCCCCAGCAGGGAAGAAAATAGGTTCTAACAATGCAGTCCTGTGTGTGTTTACTTTGAAGTACCTTCTGCTGTGTTCAGTGGAGTTTACTTCTAGGTAAGCATGCATGGATTTGTACTCAAAAGGAGCAACGTGTCGTCCATAGTGAGGAGTGCCCTTTACCAGCTTAGGACTGCTGTTGCCAAACTAGCCTATCTAGGGAGAGCTTATGTAGAGATGCATGTCTTGGTTCCATGCAGGTTAGATTACTCCAGGTGCAGGTGTTTCTGGAGATGGTTTAGAAACTGAAATGGGTACAGAATGCAGCAGCTGGAAGAGAGGGCATGGCTGGCTAGAATTTCGAGCAGGGGTGCTCCATCCACAGCGCAATATTTTGTTGCAGGTCCCATCATGCTTAGGTAAACCCCATATTTGAAGAAGAACCAAAGAATATTTAGGGAAAAGCAAGGAGCTGATAATAGTGAGGGCTGAAAAATGTTCTCTGGGCATGAAATTCTGACCGGTAGTTGGATGTGTGTAATGGTGTATCCCAGAAGAGGACTTGGCCAGCTGGTGGCAATTCTGGACAGGAATACTTCATATTTTTTGAAAGTCCAACATGACTTTTTTGTCCGCTGAGAGTAACATTTCATGCATCTGCCTGAAGAGGATCTTCTTCCACCATAAATTGGTGCACCAGAACTTTTTATCATGTTTCTGTCACCGGTTAACGCAACTGGACGGAAAGAAGGAGTGCAGGCTTTGAGTCAATGAAAATGTGAATCTGATTCTGTTCCTTTCAAGCAAAAAAAGCATGTCCCTTGGGGTTGGCAAACAAACAAACCCCACAAAACCCAGGCAACAGCTCTGACAAGTTGCTCACACCTAATAAATGTGTCCTACATTTCACTTCATTTGAAAACCAGAGAACACTCACCCTCCTCTGCTCTCATTCAGGCCAAAGCTGTTGAAAGATTTCCCTGAGCAGGGATGGCACATAACTCACAGCAGCATCTTTTAGAACATAACCTCCCTCCCTGCTCCTCAAGCAAATGTAAGGGAGGAAGGAATGGCTCCATTTGGAATCTGGTTTCAAGAAGAGGATGGAAAAGGCTTCTTGGGAGAGGATGATGGTCCAATCCAACGTGGACTAAAAGACCAATTAAAAATAAATAAAATCTCCTCACAATGGTTTTCTTTTTTTGGGGGGGGGAGACCAATTGGAGAGCTTGACCGTAGTGTACTGGATGGGATGCTGGGCATTTGCCACCACTCATTCATCTGACATAGGAAAGTAGGAAGCAGCCTCATACTGAGTTGGTTCATCTAGCTCAGTATTGAGTGGCAACAGTTTGAACTTGGGATCTTCTGGGTGCAAAGCAGATTCTCTACTACTGAGCTATAGCCCTTCCCTGCTTGCTTGGTGAAGTCCTCCTACCTTCAGGAGGACCAGGAATCAGAGGTGATGATGCAACCAGAAAGCTTCTGGTTTTCCCTTGCAAAGACCAAAGAGGAGCAAAGGAGGTACAGGGTAAAAAAGGCATCATAAGTGAGCTTAGCTGGTTACAGGTAGGTAGCCGTGTTGGTCTGCCATAGTCGGGGGGGGGATCCTTCCAGTAGCACCTTAGAGACCAACTAAGTTTGTTATTGGTATGAGTGTATCTGAAGAAGTGTGCATGCACATGAAAGCTCATACCAATAACAAACTTAGTTGGTCTCTAAGGTGCTACTGGAAGGATTTTTTTTATTATGTTTCGAGCTTAGCTCGGTGAATGTTTCCTTGCTGGTTGTCCCACACACATATCTTTTGGCTTGGCAGGTCCTTTGTAAACCCAGACCCCTTCCCTTCCTGTTTATCTAGCTCCTCTTGTTCTGGGTTTCATCTCTGCAAGCTTTTTAGTATTATATTCAAAGAAAATCGTATTGAATAACAGAGTTATGATTTCTAGAGAAGTTTAACAGTCAACCCCTCTCCCATATTGTAGCTCTGTGCTGGGAATAGTGGTCTCTTAACAACTCTCAGCTTCCTTAGTAAACTACAGTTCCCAGAATTCTTTGGAGGAAGCTATGATTAGTGAAAATGTAATGATACCCCTTTAAATATATAGTGCAGATGGGTCTCTGGCCTGGATCAAAGGGCTCAGAGGGAACCACAACAGTAGCATCCTAGCAGAGGGCTAGATCCTTAGAAGGAGGTGGTTTGAATAGCATCCATTCTTAGACTTTGCTTTCATTGAGGCAAACTGCCTGAAATTTTCTGTCTGGTGTCATGCCAGCAGCTGAGCTTTCTTGTTGCCCCCCCTTAAAAAAAAGATAAATAAATAAAAAGGAAGGAATTGGGACACAAGAAACAGGGTAATAGATGGTTTAGTGTTCTTTAGCGTGTCCCATCCCAGCTGAGCACAATGACCCCTATGTTTCCATGCAGAATAAATCAAGCGGGGTCTTGCCAATTTCCCCTTTCTTTCATGTACAAGATCTGTCCTGCAAGGCCCACCAGAGAGAAGGGACAGTTCCCTGTAGCTGTGCCCTGTTCTCATGGTGGCGTCGTCTCTGCTCTCATTCCCCAGATTTCTCTGAACACGAAGCACTTGGGAGTGAGTCTTTGAGGAGTGTTAGTCTGCGGAGATGAACGGGTCATAGGCGCCATGGAAGTTGGAGCTTTGCCTGCCATTGAGTAATTCAGATTCTTTCTGGAAGGATGTCTTTGATTGTGCCAGGCTCTTGCCCACTAGCATAGCTGGCATAGCTCAACTGGTGTGTACAGTTCTGGTCAGTCCACTGAATAATAGGAAAGGTGCAAAAAAGGACAAGCTTAAATGAATGATGGGGCGAGGACACATTTTCCTTGGAGGAGTGGCTAAAGTATCTGGGTGTTTATAATTTGGGGGACGATGACTAAGAACTGGTGCGAAGGGAGTGGGTTTATACATTTATGCATGCCATGGAGGAAGTCAGCGTTCTTCCCCTTAATAGAGTAGATATGTATCCTTCTATGCAATCCACTATTTGAACGGCTCTCAGGGGGCAGTCCTCTATTTGATGTTGCTCTCCATGGGAATGGCTGTCCAGTTTAATGAAGGGCTGTGCGATCTGAGTCCAGTTTAAAGATGAAGCATCATAAGGGAGAGCAGCAGGGACCTTGAAGTTGCCCACAAACAACTAGCACCGGGGGAGCAGACTGAGCAAGCACAGAGGTCACCAACTCATAGCCTTGCCCGCTATTTAAATGAAGAGCAATTGATTCTAAATTTGCATCTGGGTGTGTGCTGTGCATTCCTGTATGCAAATCTCTGTCCTAATATTTCTGGTGTTGGGTTTCCCCTTCCTTGGCTCCTCTTCAGTTCTTATGCCCTCGTGGAGACTGCATCGCTCTGGATGACGCACAAACAATTGTCTTGCTGTGTTAAAAACGCATATATAACTCCAGTTATGGAAAGGAAGCCTAGGAAGGTAGATGACACACTCAGGAGTCTGTGGCAGTGCCAGAAGCTGAGAGGTAGCATGGAAGTTCCAGGAGCCAAGAGAGGAATAGGAAGCTGACTTCTAGTGAGTCATACCACTGGTCCATATAGCTCAGAAAAGTCTATATTGGCTGGCATCAGCTCTCCAGGTTTTCAGGGAGGACTTTTCCCAGCCTTACATGGAGATGCCAGGAATTGAAACTGGGACCTTCTGTGTGCAAAGCAGATGCTCTACCACTGAGTTGTAGCCACAATACAATACAATACAATACAATAATCAATGTCATCTTTTTTTGATAGAGTTACAAGCTTGTTGAATCAAGGGAATGCTGTGGATGTAGTTATCTTGATTTCAGGAAGGCCTTTGACAAAGTCCCCCATGATATTCTTTTGGAGAAGCTGGTAAAATGCCATGTAGTCAGCCTAGCTTCCAAATTTTCCACCAGTTATTATGGCTTCCAAAGCAGAGACATCACCTTGCCAACAAAGGTCCGTATAGTGAAAGCTATGGTTTTTGCAGTAGTGATGTATGGAAGTGAGAGCTGGACCATAAAGAAGGCTGATTGCCGAAGAATTGATGCTTTTGAATTATGGTGCTGGAGGAGACTCTTGAGAGTCCCATGGACTGCAAGAAGATCAAACCTATCCATTCTTAAGGAGATCAGCCCTGAGTGCTCACTGGAAGGACAGATCGTGAAGCTGAGGTTCCAATGCTTTGGCCACCTCATGAGAAAAGAAGACTCCCTGGAAAAGACCCTGATGTTGGGAAAGATTGAGGGCACAAGGAGAAGGGGACAACAGAGGACGAGATGGTTGGACAGTGTTCTCGAAGCTACCAGCATGAGTTTGACCAAACTGCGGGAGGCAGTGGAAGACAGGAGTGCCTGGTGTGCTCTGGTCCATGGGGTCACGAAGAGTCGGACACAACTAAACGACTAAACAACAACAACAACATGGGTTCCAAATCCTTTCAATCACAGCTCCACGTAGAGCACACTGCGCCCATCATAACTGATGGTCTCCCCTTATGCTGGGCTCACCACATGGACCCACAGACCTTCATTCAGCTTATTTAGTCTGAACATTTCTAGCTGGGCAAGTTACATTTAACAAAGCTTGTGTTGAGGCTGAATTTCCTCCTTTGCACAAGCAACCTGCTCCAGAGATGAAGCCAGCGGAGGAAACTTTCCCAAATCTGTGACCTCCTTTTTTTATTGTCTTGAAAATGCCATCTCTTTGCTGTACAGAAAAAAAGAGAGGAAGAGGTGGGGGAGAGAGAGAAAAGCTGTAGATTTCCTCTTGGCAGGATTTTCTCTCATTGCAGAAAGGCTGTGTTTGCCTTGGGAGAATACTAATGGACTGTGCTTTGAAGGGAAACAGCATATGTTTAAAAGAATGGCAACTTTGTTGTCAAATGGAAAACGTTCCAATTTAAAACATGTGTGTGCATGAATGCACACTCTTACCACGCTTCAATTTTAATGAGGTGGCAGTTCCCACTGGCTGATAACACCTCCATTTATTGACAGTTGTCTTCCGGGAAGATTTTATTTTGCTCTGTTTTAGGTATGCATCTTAACGTGAGTAGCTATTGCACTCAAAGCATCCAGATTACAGCTTCAAATGATTCCATTTCTTCTCTTTATGAAGCACGGCTTGCATGCCAACTTGGGTGAGTGCAGGCTGTAGGCTCAGCCATCTGCAGGTAGGACTGGGGAGAATCCTGCCAGAAATACTGGAGAGCTCCTGCCATTAAGTGTAGACCAGGGGTTCCCAAACTTGGGTGTCCAGCCATTTCTGGACTGCAACTCCCAACATCCTTAGCGAGCAGAACCAGTCATCAGGGTTGATGGGAACTGTAGTCCAAAAAAGGCTGGAGACCCAAGCTTGGGAAACCCTGGTGTAGACCAAATATGTAATAGGGGAAGAACTGTCACATGGAAGATGGAGCAAGTTTGTTTTCTGTTGCTCTAGAGGGGAAGACTCAAACCTGTGGATTCACGTTGTAAGAATAATGATTCCAACTAAACATCAGGAAGAACTTTCTGATTCTAAGAGCTTTTTAACAGTGGAACAGAGTACCTCAGAAGGTGGTAGACTTTCCATTGGATGTTTTTAAAAAGAGGTTGGATGGCCATTTTCTTAGCTGTGATCTCTTCTAACCCCACAATTCAATGGTTCCATGAACAAGATGCACAACTGGTCTTACTCTGTATAAGGTTGTTCCCGTGTAGTAAAATACCTCCTGCAATCCTATAGCCCCTGAGCCATAGGAGACACAGAATCATCCTGTCCAATGTTTGTTTATTTATTTTATTACCATGTTTATACCCCACCTTTCCTCCTATGGAACCCAAGGAAGTATCAATCTTATTAGGGTCAAATGGAGAGACCCTGCTCTGTGCACCATCTGAGATTGAGGCCACTGTTCATTGGAACTAGAGGCGGGGCCTTCTTGGTGGCTGCACCAACTCTATAGAACACCTTTCCTCAAGAAACCCCCTTATCCAGTTGACCTCTTTCAGCTGGTGAAGACATTTTCATCCCAGCAAGTTTTTTTGCCTTAAAAGGAAGATGTCTTCTCTGAAGAATGTTCTTTAAAAATAAATCTACCTTAACTATCGAATACAATTATAAAGCCATTGTTCTTGGTTTCTAGTTTTGAGTCTTTTAAATTACTGTAAGCTGTACAAAGAGAAACATAGAGATCAGAAGCGCAGGATGAGAACTGTGATTGATTGATTGATTTTATAAAAAGTTAGATTTGTTGTGGGAGCTTCCCAACTGCAGTTTCTGTCCCACAACAAGCATCTACTTTAAGGTGGGTTTTTTCCCATGAACACGTTGGAGAGAAAAGGTTGTAACAATCTTCCACACATTCTCCATGGTCCCGATTCTGACTGGGCATGTATGCAACCTCACCCATGGTTTATTTTATTTTTTAAAAAATCAAACCAGCCATATTTAGGCATCCATTTTGTACATGCAATCAAAATCACATGTGGTGGGAGGCTGGTGGCGGCGGCACTGGCCCCTCTGGCACATTGTTGCTTTGACCACAATCCCCATTCTTAGTTGGAAGAACATGAGACTCTTAAGAGCCAGTGTGGTGTAGTGGTTAAGAGTGGTAGACTCGTAATCTGGTGAACTGGGTTCACGGCTCTGCTCCTCCACATGCAGCTGCTGGGTGACCTTGGGCTAGTCACACTTCTTTGAAGTCTCTCAGCCCCACTCACCTCACAGAGTGTTTGTTGTGAGGGAGGAAGGGAAAG